CATAGCTTGAAGAAAATCCCAGGATACCCTATCAAAAGCCTTCTTCATATCCAATTTAACAACAACATTCGAAGCTCTAACCTTCCTGTTCGGGCTATGTAACATCTCCATGGCAATAAGAATTTGATTTTTTATCTCCCTCCCTTGCATGAATCCAGATTGTTCTCTAGAGATGAGTTTAGGCAACATAGTATTCAATCTACTAGCAAGGATATGAGTGTTAACCTTACTAATAAAGGTTGATAAGCAAATAGGGCGATAATCTCCAAAGTTAACCGGGCTCTTCTTTTTTGGAATTAATACCATGTTCACATATCCCACCCCCTTCTGAATAGGCAAATCTAGAAAGAACTCCTTCACCGCCAAAACCACATCCATTTTAATGATTTCCCAGCAGCCTTTATAGAAGTAACCTCCATAACCATCTGGCCCTGGGGCTGCTTCTTGGTTGAGCCCCCAAACTGCCTCCTTGACCTCTGTCTCCTCTGGAAGACCTCCAAGAAAAAGGTTATCAGAGTTATTTAGTAGGCTAGGGATATAATAAAGTACCTTATCATAGGACCCAATTTCTTCTTCTTGATAGAGATTACAGAAAAAAGAAACTGCTTCAGAGGCAATTTGTTGTTGATCGTAACACCACTCCCCTGAAGAAGTTTTAATTGCCATAATATTTTGTCTCTTCCTTTTATCCTTCACCAACTCATGAAAAGAATGGGAGTTAGCATCTCCTTCCTTCATCCATTTTACATTTGCCTTCTGCTTCCAAAAGACCTCTTGCTTCTTGGACAACAACAGAAGTTCAGCCTGTTTCTTGAAGTATGTAGACCTGTTTTCCTCACTAGGATCAGTCTCGAATTTCATCTCAGCTAGCAATGCCTCTTCTTCCAACTGTTTATTATCCTGGAAAACATTTCCAAAAACCTCCGCATTCCATTTTTTAATATCATTCTTCAGTCTCCGTAATTTGTCAACCAGGCCACACATGCCACCAATAGTAGGATAATTCTCCCATTTGTTTTTAACAAAAGGTATGAAGTTGTCGTTAGTGAACCACATATTCTGAAACCTGAACTGCTGTGGCCCCTTAAGAGTATTCTCTTCGCAAAGAAGTAATAAGGGGCAATGGTCTGACGGTGTTTTAGTAAGATGCTGCATCTGAACCACATTAAATTTAGATAGAAAGCCCTGATTAGCAAGATAACGATCGAGTTTCTCCCAAATCCGACCATTCGATCTAACTCCAGACCACGTAAATGTAGAGCCAATGGTAGGTAATTGTAAAAGCTCACAGTTTTCAATACAATCCTGGAAATCTACCATCTCATTTAATGGCGGGCTAGATGGACCTTTGTAATCCGAAATACATGAAACAATATTAAAATCCCCCCTACCAACCAATCAGACTGACCCTGTTGAGCAAACTGAGCTAGCCCCTCTCAAAGCCTGAACCATTCAGTCCTTGTGTGAAGCCCATAAACTGGGGAAAAGGTAAACTCAAAATTCATAGGGAGATATTTAACCTGCACCAACAAAAACTGGCCCTTATCTTGAATAGAAGATACCTCAAACGTATTGGTATTCCACATCATCCATATTTTATTAGAGTACGACATAAACAACTCTGAAAATCCCAAGCTATTTTTGAAAAAATCACCTTTATTTTGACCCACCAACGGCTCAATAATTGACACAAAATCAATAGAGTGGTGCCTAATAAACTGACGCAACCTCGGGCACGAATTAGCGAGGCCACGTACATTCCAAGATAGGAGCTTCATAAGGAAACCACCTCAGGGGGGTCTGAGTTGGTTCTCTTAGCAGCCAGGCGAGTAGTGACTGATCGAGGCGGTATTTCTTTGAACTTCTTCTTTGGAACCACTCCTAAAACACCCATATGTTTGTTTTCAATATCTTCAACCTGCTTTTGCAATTCCCCACAAACTGTTTTCCAGGCTTCTATAGTATTTTCGTCTAAGAATTCATGTTCCCCATCCGAAACAAAGCCCTCTCTTTCTACAACAACTCTGTCTTCCTCTCCTCTAACACTGCCTTCTTCAAACGAGATGAATTTGGTCACATTGGAGGAAGATGCCAAAAACATCTCCTCCTCCACTCGCTTATCCCCTCCCCCAAGGGGATTTTAATCTTACTACCACTCTTCTCACTTACCCCCTGGTTCACCCCCCCCGGTTATCATTTAAATCCTCCTCTCCAATTTGATTGAATGAATCAGCTTCGGCTTGAACGATTTGGTCACTCGTATTTTTCTCCTTAACCGAAGCCTCCCCTTCCTCATTTGGTAAAATTGTCTTTTCCCCATTTTCTGTGATCTGTAGTACTGGCATTTTATGTTCATGATTCAAAATCACATCGTTCTTCTTTGATGTTTCAGGTTGCTCCTCCTCAATGATCTCTTTATTTTTCCCATGTTTGTTCCTCAAAACCTGGACCCACCGTTCTGGAGCCTTTTGAGGATCAGTCCCCTTCTCCTTCCTTACCAATTGAGCAGCCTACTGACCACCCTGCATTAACCGAGGTCTTGGAGTACCGCATTCTTCTTTGGCATGCCCAAGCTTGTTACACTTAACGCAATACTTAGGCAATTCTTCATAACATACCGGCTGAATGATCTCTTTTGTACCATGCATAATGAGAACTTTAGAAGGGATTTCTTGAAGTAGATCAAGTTCAACGCAAACCTTGGCTGTTGATGGCCGAGATAGGTTTGCTGTTGCAGCATCAACTTTGAGCGGCTTCCCTATCATACCCGCAATAGAGAAAAGAGCCCTTTTATCATGCAAGTAAGGGAAGTCCGTCCAAAGTAATCGAGACCGGCACAATGGGAGATTCGATGTCCGATCTAAATTCTGGGGTCCATCTTGTTACCTTCATCCTAAAGCCACGAATAATCCAATACTGTCTCAACCAACATCGTTGAAAATCTTCCTCTGAACCAAATTTAAGCAAAATGTGACGTTGATCGAGTAGGCCTAACGTAAGGGAGCCTTTGAAGCCAATCTTCTCAAACTCCTGTCTTAACGTTGTCCATACTTTAATTTGATATATATGTGTTCGTTCCCCTTAACTTTTGACTTTAAAAGTCAATATATAGTTTTACATAATGTAATACTTAATTAGAGATTTAAAAGATGAAACATCTAAAATAATTTAAATAACTTAAACAAATAAATAATAGATTAACTCATTGTTTACGACTTAGGATAATTATTATATAAAAATTCCTAATTTCATAATGTTTAATTATATTTATTAGATAATTAGTACTTGATTTTGTAAAATATCAAACGATATTAAATGAGAGACACACTAGTTAAACATTTTTTGGATCACGAGAAGTGAATCAAAAATATAAACATTTATTGACATTAAAACACACAATTCATTAACTTCTTAGTTTCTACAAAACAATATTGCATAAATAATAAACTTTAACTTATTTTAGCATTAATATATATGATATAGCAATATAATATTATTCTAAAAGTAATCGCATACATACTATTGCAATACTAAGAAAACTTCTCGTGACTCAAGAACACCCTCCTTCATAGACAAAAATTGCAATTCAAAAATTAATTCTTTATTCCAATAAGACTCATGTGGTAATAAAAAAAAGTATTGATGTATGTGTACCTTTTAAACTCTTTACCTTCAAATAATTGGATAAAATGTTATATATCCTTTGTCATTTTCAAATCCTTTTCCTTTGAATTAATATGTCATTTCTTAAGCTTTAATAATGGATAAATACTTTTTTCTAGAGCACTTCAACTATAAAATTAAGGTCGTCGTTTTTACATGTTATCGTATATGTGTTAATGGATTTTTTTGAATAAAAAATAGCAATAGAGTTCTATACTAGAGGAAAAATTTGCCCCGCTACACTAGCGGAAAAAATTCGCCTGGCTGCACTTGCAGAAAAAATTTCACCTCATACACTATCGAAAAACTTTTGCCCCCTTTTCTCGAAATCCTATATCTATCCCTGTCGTTAGGGGTGGACCGAGACCGGATCGGGCAGGGCTCCAGGCCAGGTTTGGGTGGGCTCCGGGTCCAAAATATTCAGGTCAGGTACATGCCCGGGTTAGTACCGGGACCGGGTCGAGCAGGGCCAAGTCGGGCATGAAAAATATTTTTTTGTATTTTCGAATTAATTCCACACCCCCTACCCCACCCCAAACCGCCCAACCCCACCCACCTAGCAGCCAGCTCAATGGAAAAAATTAAATAAAAAATTGGGCCTAGATCGGGCCTGATCGGATCGGCCACCTTAAAACACAGCCCGTAGCCGGCCTCATTAAATCCCGGGTTGGGTCACAGGGCCTGGTCTCGGACCCGAGCCGGGCCTGGTTCTGTATCGGCCCGTCCCAGTCCAGTCCACCACTACCTGTCATTAATTTCTATCTCTTTGTGCGGATGCAATTTTCATAGTTTTGCACTTTTGCAATTACGAGTGCTTCACAAATGTTTACAACTGTTGTTCATTGCTCTGTGTAACAACAATGCGCGCATTAATATACTTTTATTAAAAATTAAAGTTAAACTTTTAATAGTGGACTCTTTATTTAAAAGTTTAATTATAGAAATGTATTCTTGTAAAGAGAAACCAAAAGAGATTTATTCACGTCTTTTAGATGATTAAAAACATCCTCCCACGTGCCCTATCGGGAATTTGGATCAAAACAATTATGGTTTGAATCCCCGCAACGATCGTGTGGATGTTACAGCCTCTGAAATGGGCTGGACCTCTGACGCGCACGAGTATATGAGCCTACTGTCACGTTCGCTGACTGAGCCACCATGATTTACATCCTCCCACGTGACCTGTCGGGTCGGGTGGGGGGCTCCGGGGCTGTGATAATGTGATATTCCACCTTTTTGGATCAAGATGATTAAAAAAAGACATTATCATGTGTAGGAATGTCCTTTTCACATTTATTGTCTCCTGATTTACTCTTTTTTTATTGAAGGAAAGATATGGGATACTAATACACTTCTCCGATTTGACACGAGGGGAATTACCAAAGCAGAGGTATTCTTAATTAGGCTATGATTAATAATATTTATTTAATGCATTTTCACATAAAGTACATGCCGGCATACACAAATACAATATACCCAAGATCATAAGGAAGACTTAAGTGACAAATATTATTTGGAAGTTCAGGGATGCCAAATATATGGTTTTCCATAACCAAAAACATACACAATGTACATTGCCTCCACCATTATTTTGGACCTTAGATGATATGTAATAAGACGCCAATTGAAAATCCTGCAAGCAACGAGAGGGTTTCAAAATTTGCAACACAACGTATTTGGAAAAAATACATTTATATGAGAAGAGTTTAAAACATACTAGGAAACAAATATGACTAATAATATTCTATTGTTTGGAAAATATCACAGACATCCCCATAATTTTGATGTATTATCTATCACATATACGTCACTTTTTTTAAATCAAGGGAAGTCTGGGAGAGAGGGGCTAGGGGGTCTGGAATAATCAGGGTTGAAACTCAGTCCATTGAACTTCAAACCCTTATGTGCCTAGTGGGTTTCAAACTTGAGACCTCCCACTAGCCACGGTAATATCACAACCATCTGGGCTGGAATGCTTGGTTATCACATATACGTCACTTAAAAACTACTACCTCCGTCCCTTAAAATTTTGCCATGTTTGACCGGCACAAAGAATAACAAAGTACAAACTGTGTGGTTGAAATTTGTACAGAGGAGAGAGAAATAACATGAACCATAAAATAATTGATTAAAAGGGAAAGTGACAAAGTTTTTTGGAACGTCCCAAAAAGGAAAGATGACAAAGTTTTAAGGGACTGAGGGAGTACATTCTTACCTCTATCCTATAATAAAGGTTACATTTATGTTTAGATGAAATTATAGAGTATCATTCTAGTCAGTAGCTCCTGATTGGAATCGACATGCGGAATCCACCATTTGAGGTGGTTTCCGGTGAAATTGTTTTATGAAATTATGTGACAATGTTATTCATGAAGTGTAGATTATTTACACAAAATTTCAGCTTAAAATTCAATTGAGAAGTTAGTTAAATAAATTATTAAAAACCACTGCGCATTTTATATACTCCCTCCGTCCCAAAAAGGTTGGCCAAAGTTGACTTTTACGTGGATTAATAAAGTAAAAACTGTGTGGTTGAAATTTGTGCAGAAGAGAAAGAATTAATTTTAGCCATATATTTCTTACTTTAAATGAAAATGACAAATCTTTTTGTGACATCCAAAAAATGAAATTTGGCCAACCTTTTCAAAGTTTTAACTGACTTATCGATTTTGATAAAATGAGAATTGTATAGTGGATAGTTGTGAAGAAGAGAGAAATGTGTAAGAATTGTCATGAACTACAAAATGTTTACTAAAAAGGAAATGAGAAGATTATTTTGGGACCAAAAATGGTGTTTGTACCCAACTTTATACCCACTTTTATACACACACAAGTTTGTGAATGTTTTTGTTTGTCTGTGAGTAGGACTCACAGACAAAAAAAAACCTTCACAAAGGTGGATATAAGGTAGGTATAAAGGGTGGGTACAACACGCATTGTTGTTTTGGGACAGCTGAAAAGGGAAATTGAAAGATAACTCATACATCTATGTGACTACCTCTCAAGTTGTTCAGTCTGATTTTAACACACATGTTTCTTAAAAATGTGTAAGATATACCACCTTAATATGTCTTAGGTCCAATTTATTATAGAAAGATCATATCATAGACAGATCAGATCAGATAAAAACAATAAAAAGATTGGAGAGGTTACATTTCCGATCAGTTGGGAAGAATCTTCCAGCGTTGATTATCTCCTTTAGTCCATTCCCAAAGAACAATGAGAGTCCCATCACGTACACCCCCGTGCTCTTTGTCGCCATGGAATGCATCCATGTTGAGCCGAATGTTGTTCACCATTCTAATCGTCTTGTAGTCCTCCCCTGTGTTCTTGCTCTCACTCCACATTATTGATTCATCAAGAATCTCAGGGTTGTATGGAACGAGTCGCACCTTACTCATCATCAGTTTCAAATCAGATCAGTCTTAAATAGACTAAATCATATCAAACTAGACTTCGAGAGTAGTAATATACACATAGAACATACAGCTATCAGATCAGGTTAGTTCATTTAAACGGATCAAGTAGATCAAACCAAATCGAACCAAAAAACATCCTCAATGAGACAACTCTTAGTGCTTAATCTTTGAGTCATTAATCTAAAATCTATTACTCATTCCGTCCATTATAACTTTGCCAACTTTCCTTTTTTGGATGTCCCGCTAACTTTGTCACTTTCCCTTTTAAGTAAAGAATTCATAGTTGTTCATTCTTTCTCCTCTGCACAAGTCTCAATCACACAGTTTTTACTTTATTATTCTCCGTGCCGGTCAAACTTGGCAAAGTTATTAGGGACGAAGAGAGTATTAATTTAGAATCCATGAAACTTCATACAATAGTTTTTCAAAAACAAATTAGTTAGTCCTTGAAGTTGATTATCTCATCTATATATAATTGGAAAAAGGGGCAAATAAGCCCACGTTCTAACAAAAAAAGGTCATTTGAGGCAGTTCCCGGTGGAAGTTTTTGATTCAATTTTTTGAGCATATTACTCATTAAGTCTAGTTACTCATACCAAATTTCAGCTAAAACTTCAATCGGGAAGACATTCAAATGAATTCTTGAAGATAACTACGCAGTTATCTTCAAGAATTTATTTTAATGCCTTCCCAATTGAATTTTTAGCTGAAATTTGGTATGAGTAAACTAGACTTAATGAATAAGATTCTCAAAAAAAATCATCAAAAAATTCCACCGAGAACTTCCCCAAATGGCGACGGCCGGACAGAGTCTCCTATATAAGGGCTTATTTGACCTTTTTTTGTTAGTACGTGGGCTTATTTGCCCCTTTTTCCTATATAATTTAAACATTCTCTATTGTAAGCTGCTTTGGCCTCCAAAGAAAAAAAAATATATATTTATACTCCGCCCTGCATGCTTGTTTCCACTTTGACTCACACACATTCTCATGCAAAAGAAAACTTCACAAGGCTTTCTATGCATACCCTCAGGGGCGGATCTGGCATAGGGCCAGGGAGGGCCTAGGTCCCACCTCAAAAATGAAAAAGAAATTACTAGTGTATATATATATATATATTATATGTACTGGGAAGAAATGGTATAATTAGAACAAATGTCCTATTGTAAACAAAAGTTACGTTGGTGTGATGGTAGAGGTGTGATTGGCAATGTAGAAGTTATGTGTTCGATTCCTAGTTGTAGCAACATTTTTTTGATATTTTCCATCCAAGTCCAGGAACATGCTATCTTACACAAATCAAGTCTGAATTTTAACTTTTGAATACTAGGATGCAAAAATTATGTAGTCCAACTAATTGGGCTTTATTAGTCTGAAAAACCAATTAGTTCAATTGATTGAGTTTTTTTAATATTGTCCTAAAAATTAATTAGTTTAATTCATTGGGCTTTTGAATATTGACCGAAAAATTAATTAGTTGAATACATTGGATTTCGTAGGTGAAAATAAGTTTTCTTTACATAGAGTATAGATTTTAGAGTAAAAAAATCAGTTTATCTTGGTTCCGAGAAACTAACCTAAAAATTGGCACTAAACATTTGGGTAACCGATAAAACTTCGGTTCGATATCTATGACTTTTAAGATAATTGTATTGTCGGTTCTGTAATATTCAATTTATTCTTTGACATTTCTATAATTTACATTTTGACTTCTAAGACATTATTATATTATACTACATTTTGACATTTTTTTATAATACGAGTATACGTTATTTAATTAAATTTTGGCCCCACCTGAACGTAAATGCTAGATCCGCCCCTGCATACCCTTGCTCGCTAAAATTAATCAAGGAAGAAGTAAGGGTAATAATGACTTTTACATATTAAAAACATCACAATGCAATACATTTTTGGCTACGTGTGTGTCCTTAATGCAATAATGCAATACATTTGATTTTTAACACAACAAAATGATCACAAAGGAGTAGAACTAGCATAATTATTTCTTTAATGACATCACGTATTGCTTTTGTAAATTATTCAAACTATAGTGTTGCCATGAATGTTGCAAATGTTATAAACATCATATTATAATTAGATACATCTGTTGTGAATTATTTGTGAGCATTGGTGTCGGCCATACAGTTTAATTTGGTCGTTAATGTTAGGACCATCAAATGTTACATTTATTTTTTAGTGGTTTTGTTGACATTAGATATCAGCATATCAATGTAACATGCACAACCAAAACTACTAATATGATTTGATGTTTTCAAGGTGCTTATCTTATCAGGTTGTTTTTGCTATATATTGCACATGTGCTCTATCTTTCAAGCTGTCCAATTATTCAGTTTGTTGCAATATTGCTATAGCTAGCTATTTCATGTTCCTCTGAATTGACATAAGATATACGGAATATGATCAATTTTGTAACCAATATACTACCTCCATCCCATAAAATTCTTCTCACTTTGACTTGGCACGAAGATTAAGAAAGTGGAAATGTATGGTTGTGATTGTGTAAGAAAAAGGTGAAATGAATGTGAACCACACAAATTGTCCAAAAATGATAAGTGAGAAGAATTTTATGGGACGGAGGGAGTACTATCATGGGTAGACAAAATACGACACCCAACATATATGACCTATAGGATTTGTATTAAATTTTGCAAGTAGTTTATGAGGCCATTTGGTAACCCTCATTTTCGGCTTATCAGGCTTATCAGCTAACTTTTTTACCAAACACGTAAATTTTGCTTTCGCGCGCTGAATTGTGTAATAAGCCGAAAAAGTAAGGTTGGAGTTACTTTTCTGGCTCTATTGGATGAAGTTACTGTAGATGACCATTTTAGCTATTTTTACATATAATTTTTTCTTTATTTTATTAATAAAATATATTTTAAAAATATTTTTTTCTTGTATCAGCAGAATAAGCCAATGCAACTACTTCAACCAGAACTTCATAAATTTCAGCAGAATCAGCCAGAACAGCTGTTTTTCATGCTGCCAAACGGGCTCTATAATACAGGTGACCCAGAGTTTCAAGATAATTTTGCAGAATCCTAATTCCTATAGGATCAATATAGAATTCTTATATAGGGTGTTTAGATCTACTTTTTAAAATTGAATTTACTCCTTCAAGAAACAGAACCAGATATCGAAGTATTTGGATGAAAGTGTAGATGTACTTCTGGATACTCCAAAATACTTTTGGAAGCAGTTTTTTAGAAGTTGGAGAAGACCAGCTTCTAAAAAACCTGATTCTAATTCTATGTACGCTTTTAAAAAAGAAGTAGAATCATATCCAATTCATATACTATCGTATATGCCATCACTTTTATAGAAATGTACTTCAATATTTACGGGCTTTCCCAATATGTATATTCTATTTTTCAAAAAAAAATATGTACATTCTATTAACATTATAGAATTAATAGTGTCCTCTCACAACCCGTTTTTTGCTCAACTTTTTGCAATATAAAGATGTATTAGTGCCCGTTTCGTAATACCCAAATGCACTGTATTGACTGATTCTGCTGAAATTTATGAAGTTTTGGTTGAAGTGGTTGGATTGACTAATTCGGTTGATTTGTGAAAAAATTAAATTTACGTTTGGAACAAGAACTTGTCAAATAAGCAAAGAGAATCGGTATTATACCGGGTGAGTGGCACCAAGAGAGTGCTTGATGGCCTGTTCTGTAGCTTTATTAACTAGAATAAAGCTGGGCAGCCCTTCTTCATCCTTCACCCTGGTGCTGTGTTTCTCTTCTTTGTACCAGCGCTGTGAAAGTTACCAAAATGCCACTCGTCAACAAAAATCAAAATAAACAGATAACCCATAATTTCACACATATGATTCCTAATATCACAACTTGACTTCTTTAAGCTTCATATGAGACTGTACATATAATACTTCAAAATATTAGACAACAGTCACAAGATCACAACACCATAATAATAATAGACGTACACAAAACTACGTATTCTAATCGATCTAGATAATATATATATATATATGACTCTCGTCCCATGTTTGTAGTAGCATTTGTTGGAAAATTGTGTTAAAATTGCATGGAATGGTCAATTTGGGGTAGTATTTTGAGTGAGGTTCACTTTTTATTTGGGTTGAGTCAAAAGGGCTTCAGATTTCCCTCGTTAAGGGTTTCAAATCGATATGACGTACACTCAAAACGAATAACGGGTGAATGATAAATTGATTCTCGAAGTTCGCTCGTTAAAATGAAAAAATTGAGAAAGCATGGGTTTCTAGTGTGATTTATCTCACACCGGAAAACCCAGGATTTTCACCCCCTTATAAAGGTGACCCTTTTGAAGGAGTTATTCATAGGTGAAAAGGCATTCTTGCGCTTGCGACCTGCGAACACGAAAGTCATTTAAAAATCTATCTAACACAAATTAGAACTGCTCGGACGGATAGGCCGCTTCTGCTCCGCTTGTTGGACCAGAAGTCTTCCGAAACGTTACAACAATTAAGGTGCAACATTCTTCTCCATTAATATGTCGTAAAAGGACAGTTTTACGACATATTAATGTGCAACGTTCTGGTCATTTATGTCAAACGTTATAGTTTTCCGTTTGTCGGAACAACTGATTGTATGCTCAAATGGTTGTTCGTAGCCACCATATCCTGGGAAACTATCGCTGCAACGCTCCTATCACCATGGGAGGCACCGAATGCGTTTTAAGGAAATTGTGCGTTGCACAAGCTTTGACTTTCTGTCCCTTCTTGTTTCTGGTTTTTTAACTGTTTTTATTAATTAATTAATTAATTAATTAATTAATGCGAGATTTCCCAAAATATGAGTAAATGAAGATTAGAATTCCAAAATAAGACAATTACGTTTTTATTCCCGAAATAGGACTTACATGACAGTATTTACTATCATCTTGTATGCGTGACTGTCAAATAGTTGCAATACAGTGCATTTAACATGACATTATTTATTATAATTAATGACAGTATTTTTCAATAATGACAGTATTTTTCATACACGTCAGTAACAACTCCTAATTCGGGAAGAAAAATATAGTAGTCCTATTTAGGAATTTCAAACTTCATTTACTCCCATTTAGAACAATTTCCCTTTATTAATTAATTCCTTTATTTTCCGATTAAACACGCATTTCACTCGACAACATCTCCATTATATTTATGATGATATCTAAAAATCAAGTTTTCCCATCTTTCTTACTTGTATCTTTTAGTTAATGTTAAATAATTAATTTTAAAATTCATTTATGACTTTTAGCCACCATTTTCAAATATGGACATACTCCTGTTACTTGTACTCTTCACATCGATCCTAGATTATTTGAATTGATTCAAATAATTTTAAAATAATCTGAACTTATATATCCATCATAGATTATTCTAACAAATACTCTCATTATCTGAAGTTGCTAGTCATAATCCTCTCAAGTCAAATCACCAACTTAACATCTTAATAACCTGTTTTAGAATTCTCAAAAGTCTTTAGTTCAATTTCAGAATTTTCCCTAAGAATTTTATGAATGATGATGTCTTGAACTCTTGATCATTGGCTAAACTAGAGGGGCCAAATTAGGCTCGGCCCACCTCAAATTTTTAAGGTAAAAAAATCTCGAAAATTACTCTTCATTTTTTATGCTACTACATAAGTTGCTTGAAATAAGTTGAATACTAATTTCATAATTCATCAATTCAACACTGTATTCAATACGCACTACTTTAATTAATTAATTTCTTAATAAACAAACCAATTTCTGATGTTTCAAAATTTCAATCTTGTGTGAGAGCGTACCTGATGATCATCGGAGGGTTTGGGTGGGGCGAGAATGACCTTTCCGTCACGGACGGTGAGTACCAGGTCGGGATTCGCCCGGCAGTATACCCGATAAGTCTGTTTCTGATGGCGGGGATCGTGGACGTGAACCGCTGAAGGCGGCGGATGGGGTCCGTAGTGGTGGTGGACCACTGGAGGTGGCGGGATATCGGGGTGGTGGTGGACCACTGGCGGTGGCGGAGGACCGGGGTGGTGGTGGATCACTGGCGGTGGCGGCGGACCAGGGTGGTGGTGGACCATTGGCGGTTGCGGCGGACCAGGGTGGTGGTGGACCATTGGCGGTGGTGGAGAACCGGGGTGGTGGTGGGCTATTGGCGGTGGCGGACCAGGGTGGGGGTGGAGCACTGGCGGATCGTGGTGGTGATGGCGGCGGGGGTCCATTGACTTCTTTTTGGGCGTGGGATAGAGGGAACCGGAGAGGAAAGGAGGCAGGGGATCGTAGACGGACGAGTTAGGAAGTTGCTGGGGAAGATGAAAACATTTTGTTCACCTACCAGTCAATGGCATTGGATAATTCTACTCCCCATCATATATTCGTAAATTTCAATACACCCGTACACAATTTTCTAACCCAGTCATATTCCCAAATTACACGGTGGAATTTACACTATACCACCATCGTTTTATCCCAAATAATATTTTTTCCATTCTATTTTAACTACTATAGTACCCGTGCATACGTACGAGAAAAAGCACTAGATGCATATATTTTTACTTCTTATATAATTAAATATTAAAATAAAAATAACTTTATAGGATTTTACATTTTCGAAAAACAAGAATACAATAATATAATATCATAAAGTATAAGCTCATACACTAAATGTTCTATGAAGAGTATATAGGAAAAATTCATTAACACCACTCATTAGAATTTGGACATTAATTTTCATGATTTATTAATTTTAAAATTTAATAGTATTGTAAAAAAGTGAATACAATAATTATTGAAATTAATTAATAGTACGTATTAGTTAAATAATAACTTGCTAATCATTAGTTAAATTAGTGTTAGCATATGAGAACGGAATTGAAATTATCATTTCAATTCTTACTCAGCGTGTCTTATACAAAAAAATTACATATAAGAGAAAATTTTTCACTCTATCGTTAGCCGGATTAACTTATACTCCCTCCGTCCCATTAGAAGGTTCTCGTCCACTATTCTCATGGTCAACTTAAATCATTTTTAATCTTTTACTTTATAAATTAAATTTTTACCAAATTTACATTTTTTATCAGGCTTTGCAGCGGTTTTAATGTAGTTTCTGAATATGTTAATTATATTTACTAAAAATAATCAGAGTGTGAACAGGGATTAAGTTGTTTTATCGTCAGTCAAGCATCGTAAACCATTCACGAGAACCTTCTAGCGGGACGGATGGAGTACCTAAATGCACTACGTATGAGAGGCAAAACTTTATTGTTTATTTGTTAGTAGGCTTATCTTATACTTTGTTCCATTAGAAGGTTCCCACTTCCCTTTTTGGAAATTCCATATAAAGTTTCTCATTTCCATTTTAGGAAACAATTAACAATCTTAAGTGACAAATTAATCATTAAATATTAAAAACAATACATTTATAACATCACAATTATCAATATCAACTACATTATAATATATACCTATTAAAATTATTTCTCAAAACATACTCGAAGTACTTTATTTAATTATTGTCTAAATAATCGTGCCATTTTGCTATGGGAACCTTCCAACGGGACGAAGGTAGTACTTAAAAGAACTACTTATATGATAATTTCTCTACTAAATTGTTAGCAAGTTTATCTTCTAATATATAAAAGACTACATATGAGAGAGAAAATTTTTCAACTCAATTATTAGCAAACTTATCTTGTTATATTTAAAAAACACTAAATATGACAAAGAATATTCTCTTGTTCAATTGTTAGTCAGCTTATGTTGTATCTAAAAGCACTACATATGAGAGAGAAATTTCCCGCTCAATTGTTAGCTAGTCTTATACAAAAAAGAGCTACATATGAGAGAATTTTTTCACTCAATTGTTAGCCGGATTAACTTATATCTAAAAGTACTACGTATGAGAGACAAAACTCTACTGCTTAATTGTTAGCCGACTTATCTTATACTTAAAACAACTACTTACATGATAATTTCTCCTCTCAATTGTTAGCAAGTTTATCTTCTAATACATAAGAGACTACATGTGACAGAGAAAACCTCCCCGCTTAATTATTAGGAAACTTTTCTTCTTATATCTAGAAACACTACATATGAAAGAGAAAATTCTCACGTTCAATTGTTAGCCGACTTATCTTGTATAATAATAATAATATCTAATAGCACTACATATGAGAGAGAGAAATCTCCCACCCAATTCCTTCGTGCTCAATTATTGCATGTTTATCTTGTAATACTCAAAAGCACTACGTACACTACAAAAAAATTCGCCTGTAGTCACGGACTTAGTCACGGACCGCAGTGTAAAAAATCTGTGACTAATTCCGCGTGACTACAATGTAGTCACTGAAATTTGGCATTGACTGAGTGTTGTCACGGACTAGTCACGGACCAGGTCCGTGACTAATTCTTGACCGGAATTGCTACTCCGGCACGGTAGTCACGGACCTGGTCCGTGACTACCTTCAATTTAATTTTTTTTATTTTAGTCACGGACCGATCCGTGACTAAGATTTTTTTTTTGTTTTTAAAATTCGGCCATTTTAGTCAAGGACTAATCCGTGACTAAGTTTTGAAATTTTCGAATTTTTAAAAGCCCGCGGTTTAGATTTTCAAAATTTGTTTTAGTCACGGACATGTATCCGTGACTATGTTTTTTTTTTTTAAAATTGAATTTAGAAAAGAGTTCCGGACCAAAAAACTAGTCACGGATTTAGTTCGTGACTAAAATTTTTGGTTTTTAAAAAAAAACCATTTTAAAAAATTGAAAATTGTTTTAATTTTACTTTAAAGCAATTAGAACATTAAATGAAAAACAAATTCCATACAATGTTATTACAGACTGAATTATAAAACTAATATGAAATGTTAAACTTAAAAAATGTATTACATGCCCGCACGTCGAACTCCATTATGATAAAAATTAGGATCATCGTAATCATGTGCATCATCATTATCATCATAATCACGATGATGATCCTCTTCAGCATCCACGGTGTCTAAGGGTCGGGTACCTCCCCGGCTGCCGCGGTTGCCTCCTCGGTTGCCTCCTCGGTTGCTTCCTCGGTTGCTTCCTCGGTTGCTTCTTCGGTTGCTTCCTCGGCTGCCTCCACCGGATGACTGAAATTGATTGAGAAAATCAGACGACAGAGATCTGAATGTCGACCCCATTGCAGGAATGGTACCATATCCGGAGTTAGAATGATAACCCATATGACCCATCTGCGGAACCTGAGGAGTTTGCTCAACGTGCAACATGTATGGCCGAGGAAGAGGCTGAGGCGGAGGCTGATATCCGACAACAATCCGTTCCATTGCTTCTAGCCGGGCCCTTGTTTCTTCATCATTCTTCGATTGCTGGTCGAATGCCCATTGCGGCTCATCCAATTCTCGCTGCAATTGGGCGGTGTGTGGATCCTCTCCCCGCCTTGATCGATAAGATGATGAAGCTCCGCTGCCGCTGCGATCGTACAAAATACGTTGCCCCTCAGCCCCAAGGCACGGAAGCCGACCCTTGTACACCCCAGCTGCCTCAAGGATCGCATCATCTTTCACGTCAGAATCGATCTCATCTTCCTGCTTCAAGCCTAATTCCGCCCGCTTCTTCTCAACATTTGCGTTATACTTCGTCTACAAGCATGTACAAAAATTATTGAAATGATATTTACTTCGATTTGAAATAATAAAATTGATGTTACGTACTTCGATTTTAGCAAGGCGGGGTGGCAGATCGGATTCCGACTCATCACCGTGCGGAGTCCAACAATGTTTGATGACCTTGAGGATAGAGACCCTCTTCTTTTGAGGCCCCGCCTACAAGGTTCGAAAAAGGCTTAAATAAATGTAAAAAAATAAAGGGTTAAAATGATGTAAGGTTTATTTGAATAAGACTTACAAGAGTTTCTTTATGTTTACTCTGAGGTTTGCGGCCTCCGTGCCATTGTGTCGTTAATGCCTTCTCGGACATCCGATTTTTCTTCCCGGCTTCGCTTCTAGCCAAGAAGGTCGGATCCGAAGATCAGTGGCGGACGAGGTTTTCCCACACCTCATCCGAACACCATTGAGGCCTTACACCACTGGCTCGGGCACGCTTAAAAGTGGGACGAAGCCAGTTTGAAACTCTGGCGTTATACGCCCTTAGAATAGCGGGGTCTTGCTCTTCAGTCCAGCGAAACCGGGCCTTTATTTAAAAAAATAAATTTATCATTTGTCAAATTTTAAGTCAGTACAATTACGCAGGGAACATTCATTTTTTTACCTTGAACGGGTTCCACCAAAGTTCACGAACCTTGGGGTCAACATCCGTGTACGTAGCCCAGTTGCCAAGAAAGTGTCCACCATTTATGATTTTGATTTGGTTCAGCACTTCTTGATTGCTTAAAAAAATTAATGATACTTTTTTATATCCGTTTTGGTTAGATTATTTGACATTACATAAGATTATTTGAATTAAGTAAAGTTCATAGTTACTTACTTAGCAACCATGTGAGGTGTCACCCATTCCGAATTTTCGTTGTTGCGCTCGGCTTGGGTTAAGGGCGCATAGTTCGGATGGGCATGCGAGGTTGATTGTTCATTGCTCATCTAAAATAATTGATTAATGATGAGTATTAATTTACATTTTCAAATAATAATGTAAATATAATAGAAGATCAAATTTTGGTTGAAATCTTAAATAAGTTTTCTTATTTAAATTTTATAAAAAACAGTGTTATATAAAAACAATTTTATATAAAAGCAGTTTTATATAAGTTTTTTATAAAAACAGTTTTATATAAGTTTTTTATAAAAACAGTTTTTTTGTATAAAAACAGTTTTGTATAAAAACAATTTTGAATAAAAACAGTTTTGTATAAAAACAGTTGTGTATAAAAACAGTTTTTATTAAAAACTGTTTTGTATAAAAACTGTTTTGTATAAAAACAGTTTTATATAAAAACAGTTTAATATAAAAACAGTTTTATATAAGTTTTATATAAAAACAGTTTTTTTGTAGAAAAACAGTTTTTTTTGTAGAAAAACAGTTTTTTTTATTAAAACAGTTAATAAAAAAACAGTGTTTTTCTAAAATAGTTAACTAAATGTTAAAACAGTTTTTTTATTAAACAGTGTTTAACAAACTGTTTTTTTTTATAACTGTTTTTTTATAATTTTATATTTTAGATTCAATTTCAGATCTATACATCCATCGATAGAAGACGGGTCCACCATTTAAAGCCTCATACGAAAGATGTATTACAAGATGTTCCATTCCATCGAAAAATGATGGAGGCATTATCTTTTCCAAATTACACATCAGCATGGGAACAGACTCTTCTAGTCTACGGAGGGATGCTGCATCCAAAACGCTTGAGCATATCGACTGAAACAACAAACTGATCTCAGTA